GGGGGGGGGCCTTTAGTTCCAGCTATAGTAATCTGTAAGCATTTGTTTTCAAGATCAGATTATTTTCTATTGGACATTGTTACCTTTCAAAAGAGACCAAAACCATGCATGTCCTCCAAGACCAGCTTTCAATTTACTTTGAGTTTGCCTTGAGTAGACGTTTCAGGCTGAGAGAATCATTTATATTCGATACTTACTAACAATCATTTTACACTGATTTGAGAAAGTTTTACACGACATAGATGCACCATACCGTGTGTCGAAGGAGCCACAGCGATCACACAGGTGTAATTCATGATATTCATTTTAGCCCTGTTCCATTTCGGTGGGCCACAGCCCTGGTAGCCTGTTGTACATGCTGGCTGTGACACACTAAATAGAATGGGCCCATAATTCATTTTATACATCTGTTGTTTTTTTTTTGTGTGTGTTACAAAAATGGCTGCTGTGAAAAGGGCAAATTGTAGTGTTACAATTATACCATATGATGTAGGCCTCTTGTACCCAATTGAGCTAAATAGACAGGATCATATATATTATATTATATGTTGCGTCTGTAACCAACATGCTGTCCTTCTGTGGGGAAAAAAGATATGGTTGGAGTTTATGATTGGTTAATTCACATTTTTGAAAATAAAGTCTACCCTCTCTGCTCATTGTCTTAGGCATATACCCTGTATATATTAATGGGTGGACGTGTATGTATAATGGTTACGAATAATAAGTTCCCCACCCTGAACGGTGCAACACAATGGATCATAGAGACAGGAAGATGTCAGTCAAGCACCGCCTGTACTTGCCCACTACGTCCCAGGAACAGTCTAATTAACAGCACCTCTGTGGGCAGGCCGCGGTGGTGGAGGGTCTTTTTTATTTCCTATTAACATTATTTTCACACTGATCACAGTGCCGGCCTCTTTTTTTATATGTATGTAAGATGTTAGGACTGTGTTATGAACTAGTGGTTCTCTATTGTGCTCCTCGGCTCTCAAAGTCCTGCTGGTTTTCACTCAATTAATCAGCGACTGGTTCATAAATACAATGGAGCTGGTGAGGACACCCGCATTGGTCTGGGACACTGAGAACCACTGGCCTGTGTAGTTTCTCGCTTGTAGTTGCCCGGTGTCCTGCATGGTTGTGATCCTCCCTGATACCTGCTGTCAGGTAGCTGATGGCAGAATTAAATTAGCCAGGCTAATTTAATTCTGCCATCAATTCCACTTAAGATGATGAGATGGAGCTGTAAGGGTGGGGCCACGAGCCACAGAGGGACATTCATAGATGATTAGAATATGGGACATTTTATATACAAAGTGTATTTGAATGTCGCGGTAGCTCACGTTGTAATGTGAATAGAAATCAGCGGGTCTGTTCCATTCCGTGTCATTTGGTCAATGAATCAGTTAAGGTTTTTGCGTCCATTCATTTGTTTTTTTTTTATGTGGGATGAGCTTTTAATCATAGGTCTATTCCTCAATGCCAGGTCACTGGAAACAAGATGACATAAATGGCATCGTAATAATACTTAGTAATATTCGTTGGTTTTTAACAAGCAGATTTCGAGCTCCCTCGGATTGACAAACACCCAACAGTCAAATTACAGCCGATATGGCAAAGAAATGTATCATTATGGTCAAAGAATATCTTTTTAAATGGAGCACAGCTGTAAAAACTATTTACTAACGGGACACGATAGATTGATGGAGTTAATATTCTGCAGCTGGTTGTTCTCTATTTGCTCTCTGTTTTTTTACCCCCCAGTGGAACAGTAATCATGCATGGCAAGCGGGAAATCTCTTGGGAAGCCATCGTCTAAGCACACACACACACACACACACACACACACACACACATACACATACACGCCGCGCTACCTGTCTCATTGTTACTGCCGAGGATTACGAGTGTATTAGCTGCTTTGCCTCCATCCTCCGTGTTTCTGTCATGCTGTGCCAGGATATCTGCTTTCCATATTTTAAAAAAGTCTTTGGTTTCATGCAACTAAAAAATAACCCCACCTTTTTATTTTTTGCTTTCAGGAGGTGGAGCGGGAGATCTCGTTTCGGACCGAGTGTGGACTGTACTACTCCTACTACAAGCAGATGTTGCAGGCCCCGTCCATACAGGAAGGTATGAACTGTGTTTATGGTGGCGACATCATTTTTTTCCATATACATATTGCACCAATATTGTCTTTTTATTGAAGTTATCAAATGTCAGCCTGTGCACTTGTCATGTCATCCTTGGTGTTATGAGCGCTCGGGCTTTCTCCACATGAAGCAATGTGCATGTGTCTCTAGTAAGAGATACTCCTGTATCATTAATGTTTAGACACGAGAACAAAAGTGTTGTGAATGGATTAAACAGTGTGCATCTGATGTAGCATAGGCTGCAAATGTTAGCAAGTCGGACTAACTAGCTTACTACAGTCCTAACCTAGCTGTGTGGAAGCCGGTCCTCGATGCTAACAGAGTTTAAGCAAACGTTAACAGCTCTGTTCTGCTCTTTATTGGATTTGGGGACGTTTGCACCCTCATAACTTACGTCGTCATCCTAAAAGCGTTTTCTTTTGACTTCAAACGTGACAACACACTGTTTGAAACTGTTTAGACATGCACGGAAACATGACCGGGTTAGTACAGGCATACAACCACGAGGCGGTAAATCTTTTTTTTTTTTTTTTTTTTTTTTTTTTTTTTTGTCTTTTACATGACTCATCACCTGGTGAGGAGGACTTCAGCTGGGACATGTAGCTACAGCCTCAGTGTTTCAGCATCGTACCATTTATCTTGCTATTAAACATTTATTTAAGACACTTTTACGGGATTCTTGTTTTAATACGAGTCAGCCATTATCACTAAAGAGTCGGCCAGAGAAGGAATTAATGGAGCTAACATTAGCTTAATGTTACTGAGCTTAATGAGTTGGGATCTAACGATTATCCAAATCCACAATTCGGTTCAGACGTACATCACAAGACCTTATCAAGTCGGTAGCTCGCTACAGCTGATACAGTCTGCCAGTGACAGATGGCCACCAGGCAGTGTGAAATGATATCATCCAGCATTTCATGTTTATAGTGATAATTGTTATTTTAACTGTAATTATTGAATATTGTCTTACAATACAATAATGTACTTTTTTACATGGATAGACACCAGATGGCTGTCTCTACCCACTCTAACAAGGAGAAAGAAACTTTTATTTTCTCCCCCTAACTTTCTAACCATACCAAACAAATCACTGCAGCTTGTTGTGACGCACAGTCTGGTCTGAGGGAAATTAGTCTAATTATTTGTTCCCATTATCATGTAAAATACCCAGTTGGAAACAGGCCTAATTTGCCACTAAGGCAAATAATTGAGCTGCAATCAGTTTGAGGAACTGGCTGACCTCCCTCTCTGTCTCGCTCTGGGTTTCTTTTCCCGTCAGCAGAAAGGCTCGATGTGCAGAAACTACTCAGTTACTCAGAGTTACGGTGCTAAGGGTGCGGGGAAGGAGGAGAAAAATACAGGGAGGGCGTCACGGAAGAAATGTGAAAACAAAAGATGGGATGTAGGAAAGCCAAACAAGTGAGGTGGCAGAAAAAAGGATGCAAGGAGGCGTGTAAAGAGAAAAAGGAAGGACATTGACAGAAGCAGGGATGAGAGGAGAGGTATAAGGGAAGATGGAGAGGATGAGGAAAGAAAAGGGGAGAAAGGAAAAATGACAGTTTGAAAGAAAGATGAACAAGGAATGGTTGAAGGGAAGCGGGTTGTGTGTGTGTGTGTGTGTGTGTGTGTGTGTGTGTGTGTGTGTGTGT